AATAAAATAACTCTCCGTATAAATTTAACACAAAATTCCACAATCATAGCAGTTAGAAAGAAAGAAATAAAAAGATCTAAACATTACAGATCGAAACATGTAGATAGGGATGTAAAACACGAGTTGCCACAGAGATACTCAGAAAACAAAGATACTTACAACTAAAGAAGCTTCGGGAGAGAGAAGAGGGAGTAATAGAGAGCAAAAGCTTAAGAGGGGGAGTCTAAGATCGTCCCTCAACTCTCTCTCTCTCTCTCAAGTCCAACTCTCAAGTCTCCTCACAAAGGCCAGAGAAAATTTGCTGCTCACCTTTGACGCCCTTTACCCTAATATTAGTATACTTTTGCCAGATATATGTTTCCTACTTCCACTATGACTCATTGCCACGTGGAATTAAAATAGACCAATGGACCTTGGTAATGGGCTGGAATTAGTAATTCCTTCGTCAGAAAGGAATAGATTAAAGTTACCTAGAGTGGACGAGGTCACGTGCCCCGAGGATGTAATCATCTCATTAAAGAAAAATCAGGGCTGTCGTATAGATAGATATTGTGTCGTCCGATGTGAATATTGACGGTGGATATTCAAGAAACATATTGACGGATATTCTCGAGTTTTGGGTCTGGGCCTGTGAGTATAGTATACCAGTGTGGGTCAATGGTCATATAAGATGGCTAAAGAGCTACGGCGTCGTTTGTTTTTTATTAGTTCAGTACAAACATGTAAACGTAATTTTGATATAACAGTTACATGCAGCATTGACTCACACGTGATCTAAATGAGTAAATGGACATATAAGCAGTTACTTTACAACAGTTGAACACTTGCACCTACTCAAAAACGCTGTAATCTTCAACTTTCCCGTTAAGTCATTTCTGAAAAGACATGATGATTGAAATCCTGTGTTTATATACGCCCCAACTTCATGCACGACTATTCAGCACACAGTTTTATCGTCCACAGTACAAAAAACACAGTCCTTAATAGCTCTTTCTCGTCATGGACGCACCTAGTAGGGCTATTCTTCCCCAACCCTTGGAGAGGGAACTAGCCAAAGGGCTGAACCCAGTAGTGCATCAATGCCCAGATTAAACCCTTTTGCTAAAGAGTGGAATCCGTGAATGATAGGGCACCCGAGGAAGATAGATGTTTGTTCCTGACATTTTCTAATGGATATCCTCACGGAGAAACAAATCACCAGATTTTTCAATGAGTATATATATGTTACTCCCTTTTGAACTTATTATTTTCAGTTCATATATGGGTGCTTTTAATGTGTGCTCAATGTTATATCATGCGTCCATATTTCGCTTCATTATATACTTAAGATATACGTACATTATTATATATATTCAGTGTTTTGCATTTGCATGTATATTTTTCTTATATTATATGTGTGTTCCTGATGATCAGCAAATATGGGCCATGCGTGGAAAGGGTGTACGTGCACTCGCCAGTTCCGAGAAATATGAACGCGCCCCGTTATTTGGGAAGGTAGTATTCAAAGTGTCTTTATACCCGCCGCCATTTTGAGCGGACATAAGCAGACCAAGTTCACGGTCGATGGCAAGCCTCTTTGGTGCAAGAAATTCGAGGGCAAGAAGAAGGAAGACCATCACCATGGTTCCGACAAATAGCTTTACTTGTTTTTTCAGTTTTTCTGGAAATTGACCAAGTATAACAATAAATCAATAAAGTATTCTACTGGATTGAGAAATCAATTAGATTGTTTATCTTTTTAGATATAATCCTTCGGATTATTCAGATGGAAGTAATCAAATATCCATTGGGAGTTTGGAAGACTGGGACAATGATTAATCAATAGAAATATGTTTTCTACCGCTCCACCCTTTTCATATATGTCTTCTAACTGAAATCTATAGAAGTATATGATATGCCATTACAATAAATAAATTGAAAGGAAATAACTTATCCACTTATATTCAAATTAACATTTCATCTGATTCTTCCACTCAAGAACCAACTTTCCCAGTGCCTGATAGAAGTTCCATCTTCCTTGAGCGCCTTTGCAGCTGCATCTTTAACTCTTTCATACGTCTGTCAATTTTATCCTTTTCTCTTCCATTAGTCCTCACAATTCTTGCAATCTCCTCAGAATCACTAATCCACTTTCATTCGGTTTTGGTCTCAACGCCACTTATATATTCTGATAACATCACAGCATTCAGTTTTTGTTCAGCAAAAAGTGGCCAAGCTATAGTGGTAACCATTCACAAAACTCTCTAGGATTGAATTCAACCACAGTGGGTCAAGAATCCACCAGTGGAGCCATGGCAAAGCACTTGAACTTGAGGTGCCCAAGAAGATATTACTAGACCCTCCCCTTGGTCCTCTCGCGAAATCCCTTCGGTAAAAAATCAAAAGGGTCTTGCTGCTCTGGACACAAGATAGGTTGCGCTAGCAGATTCGTCATTTGGGCTTCTAAAACCCATAGAAATCTTTGCTCACTATCTCCAAACCGAAGCTAGTTCATTTATGAGCGCGAGATAGAGTCCCACCACTTCCAAAGGAAACGAATAAAACAGAACCTGGCTGATTGTAAACATGGTAAACAGTCGGACATAGACCCATCATCGGGATCAATTGAAGCGGCCGTGTGAGCGGCCCAATCGGGTAAATGGGTGGCTTACTGGGTATCATTTTTGCCCAAGCTTTTAAAGCTCCTGCTCCATGTCCATGAAAGTATTAACCACAATACCTTTAGCCGAACTATATCGTTTTGTGATATCAAGAAACCATCTGTATACTTCACTCGTTCGATCTTCAACTGCGTCACAAGATCTTTCCATGAACTGGTATACAGCCGGGGATTTCAAGGGTTCACGGAGGTCTCTATACTCGCATGAAACCATCTTATCCAGCTTTTGTATATAAAAAGCGAATGACAAAGTCATAGCACTTACTGAATAAAAACATAAGGTGAAAGATGAATTCCTTTGCAACATCAAATAAATCTGTGCCAAAATGGTCAACAACAAGAGCAACTAACGAGTGGCTGTGATTAATGACTTTAACTCATCTCGTAAAGAAGGCAGAGAGGAGTCATTGCAAGTGCAACGAGGGTTGTGGTACTGGTGCTCTCCGGAAGGTCATCGAAACTAACAGGAGGAAGAAGATGTGATTTATAGTGGCAGGAAGCGCTTCAAGAGTGGCTTTCATTGCGTTTGATGGAGTTCAGTAGTGGGAATAATGCATATAACATGAAAATCGTGAAGCTTAACTGTTGCTTGGCGAACTCAATGATTGGGATGAGGTGACTTATACCTGGACTTGTACGATAACAACATGAGATGTTTTTTTCCATGGTTGATAGATGCTTCAGCGTGGCTTTGTTGCAAAGAAATGCACTAGAACTGGAGGATATGATCCGTAAACGGTGTTTTAATTGAAAAGAAAGTCATAGTTTTGTTAAATACAAATGGATCAATATATCTAGAGCAGTGGCGATTCAGTAATTTTAAATTCTTATATTACAGGGTTTGAAAATGGAATCCGTGTGCTACAAATGTAACGACAATTTAATTATAAAAAATTTAAGTTGCTCCAAAACATCATATATAAAGGTTTAGGAAATTAGGTTAAAAGTAACGGTAACGTTATCGCCATCCGACGTCCTCTTCCGTTTGGTTTACAGTGAGCTTTACGCCAATTTTATTCTGACTTCTGTTGCACAGCCGGCGGCTTAATTTATACTAAATATAATTAGAATAATACTACACATAAATCATTCTCATACAACATTACGTGGTAAGATATAATGGATGAAAGTTAATTTTAACTTTAAATTAGTCCATTAATCTTGCCACATAATGTTGTATGGAAATTGTATGAAAATAATGTAGTGTAGTATACTCAATTATATCAATCATTACAACCAGTTTTTTATACTAGAGCCTAGACCTGTTAAAGGTCCGATCCTCTTGTCGGACGGTCCAACCAACGGATTTGAATAGTAACGTCTACTGCTGAGCATGATGTAATAAAAATTTAAAACTTTAATAATTAAAATTTATAAAATAAATCCATTAGTTTTTTGACTCGATGGTTGAATGGCGGTTCGACATTGTTCCCACTGATTCAATCCCGAATCAATCTGGTCTAATGACAATGAGGTTTAGCCATTTAGTGGACCGGATAGGAAATGACCGACCGATAGGGTTTAAAACCATGATTACAATTATGGGTCAGATTTATTAGTTGACAAAACAAGGTTATATTTTCTCTCAAAACCATTGAATTACATACATTAATTGTAATTATCATTATACTACAATTTAAATTAAAAAAGTAAATTGATATATGTTTATTGTTATTTTATTCTCCCGCTCAATGGTGTATAAGAATGGAGACAATTACAACGGACAAGAATCAGAATTGAAAATGAAAATGTGCATGGCAGACAAAAAGCTTGTAGATCCAAAACCGATCAGACGCAATAATCCAATATCAAAGAAGAAATACAAATACCTAAAAAATAAATAAATAAAGAAAGACCGTCTTTCATAATTGTATTAACGGTAGTTGTTATTTATTAGTAATTGCCTGTCTGATTCTCACTCAAATACCAATTTGATAGTGCAGTTATGAAGATCCATCTTCCATTAAAGCCTTTGCAGCTGCATTCTTCAACCCTTCCATACGCTTCCGAATTTATTCCCTTCATTTCCTCATTAATTCTTTAATAACTTTTGCGATTTCCTCTCGAACCACCAAGCCACTTTCATTAGGCTTTGGTCTCAATGCCAATTGAACATCCTCAGTTAACATTGCAGCAGTTAATGGTTAGATCTAAAGCCAAAAAAATAAAAACCTGAATGCTGCATCCCAGAGGCCAGACGATGGACGCATATAAGTCAGAACCACAGATTTGAAACACATGACGCACCACAAGTAATTTTATAAGCAACAAAGCCTTTTAATTTATAATATAACTATTTTTCCAACTTTTGAGTTTTGATCCAACACTCAAACCTAATAAATATTATAGGTAACACAGCATCTGAATTTATATGTATTATCAAAAATAACACCTATATCACCTACTGTAGAATGTGCTATGTCAATAACCTGTTTTAAGAATCAAAACACAAAAATGCCGGGGCAGAAACATAACATAAATACTAGACACCAACTTCACCAAGGCAACTTAATAGAGCGCAGACAAAGACAACATGACAGCCTCTGCCACATCAGCAACCGGGGAATACAATATATCTTGCCCTACTGCTGCGCACATTGAACTCGTGGCATCGATGTCTCATCATCTTCATCATATGCCTCCTGTTGATGCTGATGCTGTTTCCGTCTCATCTCATCGTCAATGTTGACATCGTGCAGGGTGGTCTCTTCACAATCATCCTCCTCCATATCTGACAATTGCTTGCTTGCTCTTGGGGGTAGTATAGTCTCCAAAGTCCGGCACTGATCTGGGGAAAGAATCCCCGACTCTGGAAATTCCACATTGAAATGGATGTAGAGTCTACCCTTCATGAAGGGCCTTTGGTGGTGGGGCATTCCCTCATCGTTAATTGCTTTGTATTGACCTGTATTAATAGTAAATAATTAGCTAAGAGAACAATAAAATGTGGTAGGAACAGAGAGTACCAAAACCATCAAAAAGGTTCCCAAATAATACCAGGCTTAATGATCTCGCCAGGATTTGATTTGATAAGTAGCTGCCTGCCATCCAGATGGATCAAAGCAAACTGAAACCCGCAGAGAGCCTCAGTGAGACTAAGGGTGTGTTCTACATACAGATCATCGAACTTCCGCTTAAACTTGGGATGCTCCTTTTGTTGCACTACAAACACTATGTCCCCTGTAATTGTATCAGGCTGCAAGGAGTGAAATGAAAAACATTAGAAAACAATTCAAAACAAGGGATACTCAAAAGCAATTTGGAATTTAATGAATAAAATCAACATCTTCAAATGCCATGGACCACTGAGTTAAGAAAAGAACACTGCCTGGACAATCTTAAAAAGGGATTAGGAGAGGAGGAAATAGAAAAGAGATACTCAAGCCTATATACCCACAATGTGCATCAGATAGCACAATTTAATAAAAGGCGAAATCTAAGATTGCAATTAAAAGCCTCCAACAAGAAGATACAATTTAACATTTTTATGTATAGTTCATCAAAATTTAATTTAATATCTGACTTACAGCTTCATCAGCTTGCCCCTCAAACACAATTTTTTGGCCATGTTGCATTCCTTTCTCCACATTCACTTCCAGCACCTTCTTTTCCTGAGAAACCTTACTTCCTTTGCATTGCTGGCATTTATCTCTTTCACTGATGACCTCACCTGCACCAAAGAGGAAAAGTTCAGAATAACAGACATTATCAAGCAATGAAAATTATGAAAAAACAGCAACAAATATGTTATGGAAAAGCACCTGAGCCTCTGCACTCTGGACAGACATGTTGCATCTGTTGAATCATGCCCAATCCAATCTGTCGTGTTGTTATTTTCATTCCAGTACCTTGGCATCCATAGCATTTCCCAGAGGCCCCACTTTTTGAACCTTTCCTGATATATATAAATTCCATAAGAGAAAACAATCAGTCTTGTTCAAGCATTATGCACATTTGTCGTAAAATATGAAGGCCTTTTAAGTCATTCAAAAAAGTTGAAAAGTCTACATGGCCCATGACATAAATATTTTAAAATCATAATTCACAAGACAGCCACTTAAATCTTTTCCTAAAAATTTAGGACTATAATGGTCCCCCAAAAATTTAATATGAATAAAAAATCATGAAATTAGTTAAAACACAGAACAGAGAAGCATACATTATGAAAAAAATATACCAGTGTTGCAAATCCAACTATTACAATGAAATGAAAAGTCCATATAGTAAACACCACTTAACATGGAACTTGAAACGAAAACCAATGGAAATTAAATGGCTATAAAGAATACAGCAATCAATACGTATGGTATCCAAGACAAGAATAAACACATCTACCGCATATCAAGAGGAAAGCTCAAAAAGACTTAAAAATGCGAACAGTTATTGCGAGTCATGCTAAGTGATAAAGATTAACAAATATATTTTTCAATCAAGCCAAATATCAAACAACAATAAACAAAACTCTCCTCTTCTAGTTCGAGTAAACAGCTAAATAAGAAGGACATACCCTTTACATTTAGGGCACAGAATATTCCTTGAAAGAGAAAGTTTCTTAGTTGCTCCATTGTACAATTCCTCCAGAGAACATTTCAGAGTATGCACAACATCTTCACCATGCTTTTGCCTTCTTACTCTTGAGCTACCACCGCCTACAATATCAGAATAATTATCTAAGAATTTTTTTCCCAGAGAAAATATGAATGATACAGTAATAAATATTCAGCGAGCTGCCTCACCACCAAAGGCTCCTCCACCAAAAAAAGATTCAAATATATCAAATGGATTATGCGAAGGCCCAGCTCCTCCCATTCCTTCTTTAAGAGCATCTTCACCATATTGATCATAAATCTCTCTTTTCTCAGGATCGCTAAGTACCTCATACGCTTGAGCCAGCTCCTTGAACTGATTCAGAATACAGCAGATAATAATAGTTAAAAAGATTGCAACCCCTAGCACAGGTACAAGTCCATACCTACCCACTTAAATATTTTAATTTTTCATTCGCATAAGAACTTCTACTCATTAAGCATATCGAGGAAAACATTTTCTAACAAAGCAAATTACTGCAAACATTCTTATCTACATCAACCCACCATACACTTGAAGTAGAAGACAGAATATTCATGCCCAAAACATCTAAATAATCTTCTCCAAATCCAATAAAACACATTGTTATAAACACAATGCTCTACCACCCAAGGCTTTCTGCATGGCATTATAAAAGATGCATAACCCATAGAATAACATGCAAGGAAAAACACATGGATTGCACCATCTCACCTTCTCAGGATCTCCACCCTTGTCAGGATGGTTCTTTATAGCAGCTTTTCTATATGCCTTCTTCAATTCGTCTTGACTTGCACTTTTTGATACACCAAGAACCTCATAATATTTAGTGCTATCACTCTTCCTTGGAGCACGCCCAAACATGATTAAATCACCTCAGTAACACTGCATATTTAATATAAGCACAAGTTAGCAAACTGAACTAAAAATAATCTAGAAAGGCCGATATAAATATGTGTTCGTTGGATCTATAAGTTAAAAAAAAAGTTGATCCACAAGTATACATGCTTTTTATTAATTTTCTGCTTACACGGAGTTGGCGTCACAACAAACTAGCTATATTTCCTAAGTATTCTCTTTCTTTACGAAAGAACATATGAATGAAAATAAATCTATAAACAAACGATCGTCTTCATGCATCAAATATTCAACAATTTAAAAAAAAAAAAAAATTCCTAAATCATCGATCCGACGAAACCCTAACATCAAATCGCATCCTAAATTCCAACCAAATTCACTAAATGCAAGCAGAGTGACACAACTATCGCAATCATTACTTAAGAAGAGAAAAAGAAAACCCTAATTTCAACATCTAACAAGATAAATCTAACTAAATAAATAAATAAAATAAAATAACTCTCCGTATAAATTTAACACATAAAATTCCAATCACTCATAGCAGTTAGAAAGAAAGAAATAAGAAAGATCTAAACATTACAGATCGAAACATGTAGATAGAGGATGTAAAACACTGAGTTGCCACAGAGATACTCAGAAAACAAAGATACTTACAACTAAACAAGCTTCGGGAGAGAGAAGAGGGAGTAATAAGAGAGCAAAAGCTTAAGAGGGGGAGTCTAAGATCGTCCCTCAACTCTCTCTCTCTCTCTCTCAAGTCTCAACTCTCAAGTCTCCTCACAAAGCGCAGAGAAAATTTGCTTCACCTTTGACGCCCTTTACCCTTAATATTAGTAATACTTTTGCCAGATATATGTTTCCTACTTCCACTATGACTCATTTGCCACGTGGAATTAACATAGACCAATGGACCTTGACCTTGTTAATGGGTTTGGAATTAGTAATTCCTTCTTCAGAAAGGAATAGATTAAAGTTACCTAGAGGTGACGAGGTCACGTGTCCCGAGGATGTAATCATCTCATTAAAGAAAGATCAGGGCTGTCGTCATAGGCAGATATTGTGTCCGTCCGATGTGAATATTGACGGTGGATATTCAAGATGACATATTGACGGATATTCTCCAGTTTTGGGTCTGGGCCTGTGAGTATAGTAACCGGTGCGGGTCAATGGTCATATAAGATGGCTAAAGAGCATACGGCGTCGTTTGTTTAATCTTGATTAGTTCATCTACAAACATGTAAACGTAATCTTTGAAATATAACAGTTACAGGCAGCATTGACTCACACGTGATCTAAATGAGTAAATGGACAATATAAGCAGTTACTTTACAACAGTTGAACACTTGCACCTACTCAAAAACGCTGTAATCTTCAACTTTCCCGTTAAGTCATTTCTGAAAAGACATGATGATTGAAATCCCTGTGTTTATATACGCCCCAACTTCATGCACGACTATTCAGCACACAGTTTTATCGTCCACAGTACAAAAAACACAGTCCTTAATTAGCTCTTTCTCGTCATGGACGCACCTAGTAGGGCTATTCTTCCCCAATCCTCTGGAGAGGGAACTAGGCAAAGGGCTGAACCCAGTAGTGCATCAATGCCCAGATTAAACCCTTTTGCTAAAGAGTGGAATCCTGTGACTGATAGGGCACCCGAGGAAGATAGATGTTTGTTCCTGACATTTTCTAATGGATATCCCCTCACGGAGAACCAAATCACCAGATTTTTCAATGAGTATATATATGTTACTCCCTTTTGAACTTTATTATTTTCAGTTTATATATGGGTGCTTTTAATATGTGCTCAATGTTATTATCATGCGTCCAAATATTTCGCTTCATTTATATACTTAAGATTATACGTACATTATTATTATATATTCAGTGTTTTGCATTTGCATGTATATTTTTCTTATACTATATTGCGTGTTCCTGATGATCAGCAAATATGGGCCATGCGTGGAAAGGGTGTACGTGCACTCGCCAGTTCCGAGAAATATGAACGCGCCCCCGTTATTTGGGAAGGTAGTATTCAAAGTGTCTTATATACCCGCCGCCATTTTGAGCGGACATAAGCAGACCAAGTTCACGGTGGATGGCAAGCCTCTTTGGTGCAAGAAATTCGAGGCCAAGAAGAAGGAAGACCATCACCATGGTTCCGACAACTAGCTTTACTTGTTTTTTCAGTTTTTCTGGAAATTGATCCAAGTATAACAATAAATCAATAAAGTATTCTACTGGATTGAGAAATCAATTAGATTGTTTATCTTTTTAGATATAATCCTTCGGATTATTCAGATGGAAGTAATCAAATATCCCATTGGGAGTTTGGAAGACTGGGACAAATGATTAATCAATAGAAATATGTTCTTTCTACCGCTCCACCCTTTTCATATATGTCTTCTAACTTGAAATCTAGAAGTATATGATATGCCATTACAATAAATAAAATTGAAAGGAAATTAACTTATCCACTTATATTCAAATTAACATTTCATCTGATTCTTCCACTCAAGAACCAACTTTCCCAGTGCCTGAATAGAAGTTCCATCTTCCTTGAGCGCCTTTGCAGCTGCATCTTTCAACTCTTTCATACGTCTGTCAATTTTATCTCCTTCTTCTCCTTCCATTAGTTCCTTCACAATTCTTGCAATCTCCTCACGAATCACTAATCCACTTTCATTCGGTTTTGGTCTCAACGCCACTTTAATATCTTCTGATAACATCACAGCATTCAGTTTTTGTTCAGCAAAAAGTGGCCAAGCTATTAGTGGTACACCATTCACAACACTCTCTAGGATTGAATTCCAACCACAGTGGGTCAAGAATCCACCAGTGGAGCCATGGCAAAGCACTTGAACTTGAGGTGCCCAAGAAGATATTACTAGACCTCTCCCCTTGGTCCTCTCGCGAAATCCCTTCGGTAAAAAATCAAAAGGGTCTTGCTTGCTCTGGACACCAAGATAGGTTGCGCTAGCAGATTCGTCATTTGGGCTTCTTAAAACCCATAGAAATATTTGCTGACTCATCTCCAAACCCGAAGCTAGTTCATTTAGTTGAGCACGAGATAGAGTCCCACCACTTCCAAAGGAAACGAATAAAACAGAACCACTCGGCTGATTGTCTAACCATGTTAAACAGTCGGACATAGACCCATCATCGGGATCAATTGAAGCGGCCCGTGTGAGCGGCCCAATTGGGTAAATGGGTGGCTTACTGGGTTCATCATTTTCTGCCCAAGCTTTTAAAGCTCCTGCTTCCATGTCCATGAAAGTATTAACCACGATACCTTTAGCCGAACTATATCGTTTTGTGATGTCAAGAAACCATCTGTATACTTCACTCGTTCGATCTTCAACTGCGTCCACAAGATCTTTTCCATGAACTGGTATACAACCGGGAATTTCAATGGGTTCACGGAGGTCTCTGTACTCGCATGAAACCATCTTATCCAGCTTTTGTATATAAAAAGCGAATGACAAAGTCATAGCACTTACTGGAATAAAAACATAAGGTGAAAGATTGAATTCCTTTGCAACATCAAATAAATCAGTGCCAAAATGGTCAACAACAAGAGCAACTAAACGAGTGGCTGTGATTAATGACTTTAACTCATCTCGTAAAGAAGGCAGAGAGCGAGTCATTGCAAGTGCAACGAGGGTTGTGGTACTGGTGCTCTCCGGAAGGTCATCGAAACTAACAGGAGGAAGAAAGATGTGATTTATAGTGGCAGGAAGCGCTTCAAGAGTGGCTTTCATTGCGTTTGATGGAGTCTCAGTAGTGGGAATAATGCATATAATATGAAAATCGTGAAGCTTAACTAGTTGCTTGGCGAACTCAATGATTGGGATGAGGTGACTTATACCTGGACTTGGTACGATAACAACATGAGATGTTTTTTCCATTGTTGATAGATGCTTCAGCGTCGGCTTTGTTGCAGAGAAATGCACTAGAACTGGAGGATATGATCCGTAAACGGTGTTTTAATTGAAAAGAAAGTCATAGTTTTGTTAAATACAAATGGATCATATTCATATCTTAGAGCAGTGGGCGATTCAGTAATTTTAAATTCTTATTTAATTACTGGGTTTGAAAATGGAATCCGTGTGCTACAATTATGTAACGACAACTTAATTATAAAAAAATTTAAGTTGCTCCAAAACATACATATATAAAGGTTTAGGAAATTAGGTTAAAAGTAACGTGTACCAATTATCGCCAACCGACGTCCTCTTTCGTTTGGTTTACAGTGAGCTTTACGCCGAATATTCTCATACTGACTTCGGTTGCACAGCCGGCGGCTTAATTTATACTAAATTATTAATCAATCCATTACAACCAGTGTTTTTATACTAGGGCCTAGACCCTGTTAAAGGTCCAATCCTCCGGTCGGACAACGGATTTGACCGAGTAATGCCATGCTACTATCACTATGATGTAATAAAATTTTAAAACTTTAATAATTTATAAATTTATAAAATAAATCCATCTAAATCCACTAGTTTTTTGACTCAACAGTTGAACTGTGGTTCGACATTGTTCCCACCTATTCAACCTTGGATCAATCTGGTCCAATGACTAAAGGGAGGTTTAGCCATTTAGTGGACCGGATTGGGAACCGACCGATCCGATATGAGTTTTAAAACCACGATTACAACTTATGGAGTCAGGTTCTATATTTTCTCTTAAAACCATCGAATTACATACATTAATTGTAATTATTATTATACTACAATTTAAATTTAAAAAGTAAATTGATATATGTTTATTGTTATTTTTATTCTCCCACTCAATGGTGTATAAGAATGTAGACAATTACAACGGACAAGAATCAGAATTGAAAATGAAAATGTGCATGGCAGACAACATGCTTGTAGATCCAAAACCGATCAGACGCAAAATACCTAAAAAATAATAAATAAAAGAAAGACCCGTCTTTCATAATTATATTAACGGTAGTTGTTATTTATTAATAAATGCCTCAAATACCAGAAATACAAATACCTAAAAAATAATAAATAAAAGAAAGACCCGTCTTTCATAATTGTATTAAGGGTAGTTTTTATTTATTAGTAAATGCCTCAAATACCAGAAATACAAATACCTAGAAAATAATAATTAAAGAAAGACACGTCTTTCATAATTGTATCAACGGCAGTTGTTATTTATTAGTAAATGCCTCAAATACCAATTTTGATAGTGCATTTATTGAAGATCCATCTTCCATTGAAGCCTTTGCAGCTGCATTCTTCAACCCTTCCATACGCTTCCGAATTTTATTCCCTTCATTTCCTTCCATTAATTCTTTAATAACTTTTGCGATTTCCTCTCGAACCACCAAGCCACTTTCATTAGGCTTTGGTCTCAATGCCACTTGAACATCCTCAGTTAACATTGCAGCATTCATTTTTTGTTCTGCATAAAGTGGCCAAGCAATTAGTGGTACACCATTAACAACACTCTCCAGAGTTGAATTCCAACCGCAATGCGATAGGAGCCATGGCTAAGAACTTGAGCCTGTGGTGCCCAAGAGGATACAACTAGACCTCTTCCTTTGGTCCTTTCCAAAAACCCATTTGGTAAGAAATCAAAAGGGTCCTTTAGGGATTGGACACTGAAAAATGTTGCATCAGAAGATTCATCATTTGGGCTTTTTACAACCCATAAGAATCTTTGCTCACTCATCTCCAAACCATAAGCCAGTTCATTGAGTTGAGCATGAGACAGGGTTCCACCACTTCCAAACGAGACAAACACAACTGAGCCACTGGGCTGATTGTCTAACCATTTTAAACAATCAGACTCATGCTCATTAATGGGATCAATTGAATTGGTCCTGATGAGTGGCCCAATTGGATAAATAGGTGGTTTGCTGGGTTCTTCTTCTTGCAAAACTTTCAAAGCTCCAGCCTCCATTTCGGTAAATGTATTCACCACAATACCTTTGACCAAACCAAGTCGTTTTGTGATGCCAAGAAACAATCTGTAAGCGTCACTCTTTCGGTTTTGAAGCGCTTCTAGGAGATCCATTCCATGAAGTGGAATGCATCCAGGAATTTCAATGGGTTCGGGGTGGTCTCTAAACTCACATGAAACGATCTCATCAAGCTTCGGGAGATGAAAAAAGAGTGACAAAGACATGGCACTAGATGGGATGAAAAGGTAAGGCGCAAGATTATATTCCTTAGCAACATCAAGTGCATCAATGCTAAGAAGGTCAACAAAAAATGCAACCAATCTTGTATTCTTGATTAACGACTTTAAAACAACACGTAGAGAAGAAAGTGAACGATTTATCGAAAGGGCAATGAGCACTGGAATCTCGATGTCTTCATGCAGATCATCGAAACTTACTGGAGGAAGAAAAATTAGGTCTATTTTCTGAGGAAGGTCTTGGAGAGCAGCTTTCATGGCGTTGGGTGGAGACCCTATAGTAGGAATAATGCATGTGACATGAAAGTTGTGAAGATGAACTAGATGTTTAGCAAATTGGATGAATGGAATGAGGTGACCCATGCCTGGACTTGGTAGAATAACAACATTAGGTGTTTGTGCCATGGTTGGCTGTTGTGAAAAAGTTTCAACACAGCAGAGAGAGAAAGAGAGATGACTGAAAAAAAAGAAATGTGCGAGGAAGAAGAAAAATAGAGTATTGAGCTCTTCTCATAATTTTTTGGTACGTGAACAATAAATAATACAACATGCTCTTCTCATATTTTTTTCGTACGTGAACAGTAAATATTACAACATGCTCTTCACATGTTTTTTTCGTACGTGAACAGTAAATATTGCAACATGCTCTTCTCACTTTTTTTTCGTACGTGAACAGTAAATATCACAGACGCGTGATTTTGATACCAACTAAACGCACATGTGAAATGCTGAGTTGGCCCAAAAGACACACGTGATTGGCGGGTTGAGAATGTAAATAATGGCAAGACAATGTTTAAAGTGGTTCGGATGCTTAACCAAATGAATCTTATGTCCACTGATATTTTATTTATATTTGAGGGATCAAGTCGCAGACTAGTGAACTGATGAGAGTACAACTGAGAGAGAGATAGAGAGATATTACAGAGAGAAAATAGCTAATCAAGTGCAAATCCTCTTTTGCATCCCGTTATTCACCTACTCGCGCAATCTCCTGTCTTTGTGCAGGGATTGGACATGTGGACGTACTTCAGTCTTTCGTCAGTCTGGCATGCACCCACTACACTGAAAGGAGCATGCTACTCACTGGTCACTTGCGTTGACTAGACTCTACGTCAGCCCTATTTTTCTAGGTATAACAACAACATTTATACATACAGATCATTCTTCTCCACCGTTTGATCATTAACAACTAACTAAATTCAGTTCATTTGATCTGCAACTTGCGTCTCCACTTCCAGATCAACTTGTATTCTGTTTTGCAATGTCCACCTGCATGCTGTTAGTTAAGGAAAATGATAGAGTTACCGAAAAGTTTACACCGAATTTGTGTATCGAATGACGTGGTAAAATCCTGACCGTTGACTAATATTTACTGATAATAAATCAACGATCAGGATTGTGCCAGGTGCACAAATTCAGTGCACATCCATTAGAAACTGTAGCATTACTCGTTAGTTAAAGATAAGGCCGAACTTGTATTCTGTTTTGCGGCGCCCACTTGCATGCTGTTAGTCAAAGATAAGGCCAGATTGTATTCTGTTTTTGTAACTTGTATTCCCACTTGCATGCCGTAGAAGGTGATAAACGTGCGGAAATAAGCAGACCAGGTTCATGGTCGATGGCAAGCCTCTTTGTCTTTGGTGCAACAAATTTGAGGCCAAGAAGAAGCAAGACCATCACCATGGCTCCCACAACTAACTTTACTTGTTTTTTTTCAGTTTTTTCTGGAAATTGATCCAAGGATAATAATAAAGTAATAAAGTATGGCATAAATTTTTGTTTCGTTGTATTTATACTCCACTAAAACTTTTTCCAAAACCTCTAATTAAATAAGATTTATTAAATAAAATTACACACCTGCTCATATTACAAAAATAACCTTTATCTTATTTCTCCTCATTTGTTGACTTGTATATTATATGGAATGAATAATATTATATCAACAACTCTCTTTCATAATCTTGATGTGACAGTTCGTAATTGGTTAATTCACAACGGATTTCACATTGATTATATTAATTAATTATGAGTTGTCTCGTCAAAATTGTGAAAGAAAGTTTTGAGAAAGAGTTGTTAGTGTAGTGTTATTTTATATGGAATAGAAGATAAATTTTATTTAACTAGGGTGCGAAAAGATTTTTTGTGGGGGCTTCAAGCAAGATCTAAAAGGTTGTTTGAGTGAGCCTGTCTAATCTGATAAACAGAGGCCGAGATAAGCCCAAAAGCGTGGCCTGCGTTCACCCACTACACCTGTTTTACAGCACATACTTGCTTTTCACACAGGCACCAACTTTTAACTGACTTTTTCTTCCCAACAGCCGAAAGTGCATGTGCCAATTGCCATAATCAAAAATAACAAATCCCCTAACTTAATGTCCTCTTCTGTTTATCTCACTGTTGCAACAACATAACCACCCACCTTAGGGTTATATTTTTGTCTGAATCTTACTACATACAAAACATTTGATCGGAATCTGAAACCTAAAATTATTTTTTCAAGAAAAAATGGATTCATCACAAACCAAGAAATCGCAGAACAACCAGCAAGGAGACTCCCGTCAATTTCTCCAGGGCAATGAGCACTGGAGTCTCAATGTCTTCATGCAGATCATCGAAACTTACTGGAGGAAGAAAAATTAGGTCTATTTTCTGAGGAAGGGCTTGGAAAGCAGCTTTCATGCCGTTAGGTGGAGACCCTATAGTAGGAATAATGCCTGTGACATGAAAGTTGTGAAGATGAACTAGATGTTTAGCAAATTGGATGCATGGAATGAGGTGACCCATCCCTGGACTTGGTAGAATAACAACATTAGGTGTTTGTGCCATGGTTGGCTGTTGTGAAAAAGTTTCAACACAGGCGAGAGAGAAAGAGAGATGACTGAAAAAAAAGAAACTGTGCGAGGAAGAAGAAAAACAGAGTATTAAGCTCCTCTCATATTTTTTTCGTACGTGAACAGTAAATATTACAACATTTATACATACAGATCATTCTTCTCCACCGTTTGATCATTAACAACTAACTAAATTCAGTTCGTTTGATCTGCAACTTGCGTCTCCACTTGCAGATCTGTTTTGCAACGTCCACTTGTACACCTGCTCATATTACAAAAATAACCTTTATCTTATTTCTCCTCATTTGTTGACTTGTATATTACATGGTATGAACAATACTATATCAACAATTCTCTCTCACAATCCTGATATGACAGTTTGTAATTGATCAATTCACAATGGGTTTCATATGGATCTTATTAATTAATTACGAGCTGCCATGTCAAAATTATGAAAGAAAGTTTATGAGAAAGGGTTGTCAGTGTAATATTTAGAAAGGGTTGTCAGTGTAATATTATTTTATATAGAATAGAAGATAAATTTTATTTAACTAGGGTGCGAAAAGACTTTTTATGGGGGCTTCAAGCAAGATCTAAAAGGTTGTATGAGTTCCATATATCACTGTTGTCATTTAATAATTTGCATATAAATCAAATATATGCAAATTGACTTGACAATGAATAGTAATAAAAGACTTTGAATAAATGTAAATGACTTGAAAATTAATGAATGAAGACTTACAAGAAAATTTGAAGAAGAAACTTTTATTTCTTTAATTGGTTAGGAAATAGAAAACATTATCAAAATTTAATTGAAAAGAAAACTATTTTTATAACTACTAATGCAACAAAAAATTGGTAAACATCAACAAATAAAAAAATTAAATCTGTACATCCACCTTTAGAAGAAATTAAAATAGAACATCAACAAGCAGAAATAATAACATCACCATTTAAAACAATTAATAGAATAGATGATGACAAAAACAACCAACTTTAAGAGATATTAAAAATATTCAACATCAAAATAATTACTCTAATCAAATTCTCCGTACTATTAGTCAGCAAATGAATAGGATAGAAGATAATACTAGTCACATAATCGCAAAAATTTCAAAGCCCCCAAGAAGGAGATAGTAGAAAATTCACTTTTAGAAAATTCAACAAATTCACTTTTAGGAAATTCAACAACAACTTTAACATCTAATTCAACAATCCTTTATTCACAAAAATATGTTAAACCATTTTTTGAACCCTTTGACATTCCAAAAGAACAAATTGTTAAATTTAATAATCACAATACTATTTTAGAAAATATTAGTAAAAAACTTAGTGAATTATCATCCTCTAAATCAAACATTAATGGCTTCGTTTGGTTCAAAATTTGGGGGTTTTGGGAAAAGTTTTTTGAAAAAAGTTAAAAAAAAGTTGAATTGGGCGGTATTACGATGTAGAATTTATCAAATTTTTTTTTAAAATTTATAAAATAAATACCCTTTATGTTTTTTTTTACAAAATACCCCCTATAATAAAACATTAAAGTTAACAAAAATACCCCTAACCCCCCCTCAAACACCCCCAGCCGACGACCACCACCAGAGGTGGCCGGAGTCGCCATATGGCGTAGACCGGTTGGATCTTGCCGTCATGCGTCGATATGGCCTTTTCCGGCCAGATCCACGGTGGATCTGGCCGGAAAAGGCCAGATCACGGTCAGATCTGGCCGTATTTGCTCTCAACGACGGCCAACAAACGGTCGTCGTTGATGTCAACGACAACCGTTTATTGGCCGTCGTGACCGAGTGTTACGGCCAAAGATCTGGCCGTCAACAGCCAAATCTTTGGCCTTAGATCTGGCCTTTTCTGGCCAGTCCACCGTGGATCTGGCCAGAATAAGCTAGATCGGCGCACTCCGACCAGATTCAGCCGGTAGTGCCCCATCCTACCAGATTCCGGCCATTTTCCGGTAGTGGTGGCCGGAATCTGGTAAATGTGGATTGTTGGTTGTTTTTGTAATTTTAAAAAAAATATTAGGGGTATTTAATTAAATTAACAAATTCAGGGTTTTTAAAAAAAATTGAATAATATTGAAAATAGTATTCCCAAAAATGAGAGATTTGGGTATTTTACTGTTTAACTTTTTTGGGAATACCAAGAGTAGTATTCCCATCTTGAACCACGAAGCCAATGTTCTTACAGAATCTAACCCAATAGAAGAATTAAACAAAAATCAAAATTTATCTATTAATAAAATGAGAAATAATATGAAATATCCTAAAACTCGAAACTATTACCCAAGACCTTCTTATCGAAACTATTACCCAAGACCTTCTTTACCAGATATGCAATTTGAAGATGTAACACAATGGCAAGATCTTCGTATAATGGAACAGGAATAGTGAATGGAATATAAACGATTAGCTGAACACCAAATATTAAATATTTTACAAGAAATGAGTATGTCAGCTTAGCTAATCACATGCAACACTGATCATCAATACAAAGAATTAGTCTTAGATTTACGGAATGTTAAAAAATTGATGGGATAATGATTTACCAGAATCACATAAATATCACATATTACACGCAGCAAAAAAGACTAGGAAAGAAAATAAG